ATTTCCTTCCTTTGGGAAGGGCTTGAGGGTGTCTGCTGGCTGGTGTGTGTATTGCCCATGGCTCTTGGCCCACCCGGGCTAGGCTGATCTTGTGTCGTAAGAGCCCCAGGGTCCAGGGAAAGGAGGTGGAAGACCTGAGTGGAGTCCCTCATCCTCAGCCCCTCAGATGCCTCAGTTCCTGCCCCCATGGGGCCCAGTCTCGCAGCTGCCCACCCCTGCCTGGGGAAGAGAGCCTTCCCGTTAGGCAGGCTCTCCCTCCCATCTGCATCCCTGTTAGCCCTAACTTGGGAGGGAGACCAGAGTGTCCCTGACCTGGCCTTGCCCCTCCCCGGTAATTGTGCTCTGTCAGCTCCCCCCGTGAGTCTCTGCAGCTCACTCCACAGTGGCCTTGGCCTGGCCCCTCCACATCACTGGGTAGCCAGGACTTCCGGGGCTGGGGGAGGGCTGGCACTGGCTGCCCTATTCACCAGGAGGGTGGCAGGGGTGGCGTGCTCTGCAGCCCTCCCCCAGGTGGGGGCTGACACCCAGCCCCAGTTAGCAGGCACCCTGCTGGGAGCACCGTCCTGGCCTGGGGGCCGTCTCTACCCGGGCAGAGGAGCCGGTAGCCACAGTTACTGATCCCAGTTGGGTGCCCTTGCTGATTCCCAGGGTCCTCAGCTGTGAGGTGATGGCAGAGTGGGCGCCTCTGCACTTGCTGGGCATGTGGGGTCATGCTTCCTGGAAATGCCTCAGGTGTGGCCCGGCACAGGCCAAGAAGAGCCCGGCGGCCTCACCTGTGGCTTCCATGTGACTCCCTGCCCACCCTTACCTCATGGCCCGGCACACAGTCCACGGAGTTCCGGATGGTCCAGAACAGACGCGGGGATCCTCCCTCCTGTCTAAATGAGACTTCACTTTGTTTTAGAAACAGGACCTTGCTCTGTTGCCCAGGCTGGAGTGCAGCGGTGTGATCATGGCTCACTGAAGCCTTGACCTCCTAGGCTCAAGCAGCCTTCCCACCTTAGCCTCCCAAGTAGCTGGGGCCATAGGTGCACACCACCACGCCCAGCTAATTTTTGTACTTTTTGTAGAGACAGGGTCTTGTCAAGTTGCCTAGGCTGGTTTTGATATCAAGCAGTCTGTCCATCTTGGCGTCCCAAAATGCTGGGATTACAGGCATGAGTTACTGAGCTCGGCCCTAAACGTAATTTTAAAAATGGGCACAGCATTCACGTGATTTCAAGGGAAGGGCGGCAGCTGCTGTGACGACCCCTCTTCCCACCTCTGTAGCCTCAGGGTCCTCGCCTCCCACTGTCCCCGAAGGATTCCCTGGAACTTGAGGGGACTTCTGCCTTCGCAGGAACAGGCAGCAGGCAGTGTGATGTCCACTGCACTTTCGTCACTGAGGGACGCTGCGTTCGTTCCCTGTGGGCCTTAAAGCAACATACACTCAGCTCTGGGCTGAGAAGTGCAAAATCGGCCTCGCTGGGATCAAATCAAGCTATGCACAGGGCTGGGCCCTCCTGGATGCTCCAGGGGAGAATCCGGTTCCCGCCTTTCCCAGCATCCGGACGCGCCTGCATCCCTGAGCTCAGGGCCCCTTCCTCCTCCTGCACAGCCTTAGTGTAGCCTCTTGATCTCTCTGGCGCTCACCCTTCTGCCTCTGTCTTTAAAGGATCCTGTGAGGGCGCTGGGCCCCAGGATAGCCCACGACGTCCACCCACCTCGAGGTCCTTCATTCAAGTCACATCTGCAGTCTCTCTGGCTGAGTGAGTGGCCTGGCCACAGGTCGCAGGGGTTAGGAGGGGACCTGCCCACAGAGGTGCTTGTTCTGCTGGTGGGTGTGTCTCAGGGGAGCAGCTTAGAAACCTGCCAGTTCTTTCCCGTGCCTGCCGGGGTTCGAGGGGTGTGGGGGCCCTCGGGGACGCCTCCAGTTCTATTGCTGTTCCCTGCGCTGTCCTCAGTGGGAGGTCTTGAGCCTGCCTCCCCTTGGCCATGTCCAGCCATTTGTCAGCACGGCAGCCTCAGCACCCTGTGGGGGTCAATCTCTAGGTGGGCCGGAGTGCACGCAGGTGTTGAGTGGGAGAAACGCACGCCTGATGCCGAACCTTCAGATAAGCTACACGTTCAGTCAGAATCAAGTCGGCCCAGCGGTGTTGGCTCGGGCAGGTTCCCACGGGGCAGCCCCTGTTGCCTTTTGCTTCATGGTGTCATCGCTTGTTCCTTAGCCTGTTGGGGGCGTTGGGTGCAGTATAAATTAGGGCCAGATTGCATTTGCTGCACCCGATGAGACGGTGGGCTTGGTGTGGGCCCAGCCGAGGCTTTGTTGCAATCTTGGATCTGGTTGGTTTGTGGAATTGCTTTTCAAAGGCAAGAACCTGCGGCACTCCTTGCCCCTCTTCTTCCCCGGAGAGCTTGTGCCTCCCATTTAACCCCGGCTGACCTGCATTTAGGCTTCTGGGGCCTGTCCAGCGTTATGATTCACTGTTGTGTTTTTGCGGTGAGGGCTGCACCAGAGCGTCTGTGCCTCTGCCCTGCGCAGGCCATCTGTGGCACAGGTTCTCAGGCCTCTGAGTCTGAGGGTGGTGGCGTTGAAGCTGCATGGGATGGTCGCAAAACTGCTCTGTAAAATCTCAGCCTGTCCATGGCCCCTCCGTGAGGGACAAGGGGGACTTCACCCCGTCTAGAGCCCCTTTTGCCATCTCGGGGGATATGCCGTCTGCAAGTTCTGGGATGTCTTTGGAGCCATTTCCTGCCAACTCCAGGGCGTCGCACCTACTGACTTTTCTTTAGAGATGTTACAGAATTATATTCAGTAGAATTTTACATTTTTTAGAGTTGGGGTCTTGCTTTGTTGCCCAGACCAGAGTGCAATGACACAGTCCTGCCTCACTGCAGTCTCAAGCTCCTGGGCTCAAGTGATTCTCCCGTCTCAGCCTCCCAAGTAGGTAGGACTCTAGGTGTGTGTCACTATGCTCAGCTCGCTTTTTAAAAAAATTTATTTTTCTTTGCTACCAGTTTAGCCCTTTGAAGGATCAGCTAACTTTTAAGTATTTTTTTAAGAGATGGGATCCATGTTGTCCAGGCTGGTCTGAAACTCCTGAGCTCAAGCCCTGCCTGGGCCTCCTGAGGAGCTGAGGTTACCGGTGTGATCCACTGTGCCTGGCCATGTTCCGTAGCATTTCTGATGGTAAACTTGTAAGTTTCTAGACTAAGTAACCGAACTTGGTTTTTATTCCTTCGATGGAACATTGGGCTCTAGAGCTCATTGTTGTTTTCTTTTTTTTTTTTTGCTCATGTTTTCTTTCTTTCTTTTTTATTTTGAGACAGAGTTTCACTCTTGTGGCCCAGGCTGGAGTGCAATGGCATGATCTTGGCTCACTGCAGCCTGCATCTCCCAGGTTCAAGTGATTCTCCTGCCTCAGCCTCCTGAGTAGCTGAGATTATAGGCATGTACCACTACGCCTGGCTAATTTTTTGTATTTTTAGTAGAGTCTGGGTGTCTCCATGTTGGTCAGGCTGATCTCAAACTCCTGACCTCAGGTGATCTACCCACCTCGGCCTCCCAAAGTGCTGGGATTACAGGTGTGAGCCACTGCGCCTGGGCTGCTCTTGTTTTCTGTAACTCCTCCAGCCTGTCCCCACGTGGCCTCCTGTGGTTCTGACTTGTGTGCTATCATTGGTGGCACTGAGGTTGTAAAGATCTGCTAGACTACCCCTTGTTAGTAACCATATAAATAACATGTTCCCAGATGCCCCCAGGAAGACAGTTCAGCCATGTGCTTTAAGCCGGGCTCAGCCGCTTGCGCCTGTAGTCCCAGCTATCTTGGAGGCTGAGGTGGGAGGATTGCTCGAGCCTGGCAGTTCAAAGCCAGCCTGGGCAACATAGTGAGATCCTGCCTCTACAACAGATTTTAAAATTAAAAAATGTATTGTCCAGGTACGATGGCTCATGCCTGTAATCCTAGCACTTTAGAAGGCCGAGGTGGGTGGATCACCTGAGGTCAGGAGTTCAAGACCAGCCTGGCCATCATGGTGAAACCCCATCTTTAAAAAAAAAAAAAAAAATTAAAAAAATGTATTTAAAGTAGGCCAGGTGCAGTGGGTCACTTGAGGTCAGGAGTTCGAGGCTGGCCAACATGGTGAAACCCAGTCTCTACTAAAAATACGAAAATTAGCTGGGCTTGGTGGTGCACGCTTGTAATCCCAGTTACTTGGGAGGCTGGGGCGGGAGGGTTGCTTGAACCCGGGAGATGGAGGCTGCAGTGAGCTAAGGTTGCACTCCTGCCCTCCAGCTTGGGAGACACAGAGAGACTCTGTCTCAAAAAAAAAAAAAAAAAAAAGTCTTCACAGTGTCCTTATTGTGGATTTCGCAGGGTGGTCCATCAACTGGGCCTGTCCGTGTCCTCTCCGCCTGACTTGGCCATGGCCACTGCTGTGACCTCCGTTTCTGCAGGATAGGCACAGCCCAGTCAATGTTCCTATAGGCAGGAAAGCCTGTGGGACAGAGCCCTGAGCTCACCCCCGCCAGGCGCACGGCACGCGGCTGGCACACTGCTGGCGGGTGGCGCTGTGCTGGCTGAGGAAGGGCTCTCCTGTGTCCACTGTCAGGCTGTGGTCGCCAGCCCAGCCCGCCCCTGCCTCAGTCCAGCGCCTTGGACGCCAGGAGCTCCACGCCCGCCTGCCCCAGGCATCCCAGCCTGTTGAGTGTCTGCCTGCCATGGTCATTGTATGCATTCTGTGAGCCATGTGAGCGTGCCTCCAGAACCCATGGAGCTGTGTGTCACACACCCCAGGCCTGCCCAGGGCCTGTCAGTCAGGGGCAAGGTCAGGCCCAGCACAGGGCCTGAGATGGCGACGTGGCCTGCTCCAAGCTGGGCACCCCAGAGCCTTGGCACCGGTGTGCAGTGGGTTTCAGAGGCGGGTTTCTTCCCTTCCCTGCAGTTTGAGGCCAAGGCCAACCCCCTGTGGGGGGCTCGCCTCCGGCAGGCTGGTCACAACTGTGTTCTCTCTTCCTCCAGGGCTGGGTTACGACCCCTACAACCCTGAGCTGCCCAAGCCCCCGACGCAGAGGGAGAATGGCGCCCTCGGCCTGGGGGAGGAGCCGCGGCCTGACGTGCTGGAGCTGGAGCTGGTTAACCAGGCCATCGAGGCCGTGCGCAGTGAGGTGGAGCTGGAGCAGCGGCGCTACCGGGAGCTGCTGGAGACGGCCCGTGAGCACCGCGCCACCGAGGCCCCCGCCCTGGCTCCCTGCAGCCCTGATGCCAGCCCTGTCGTGGGTCTGGATGACGATGCCTTCCCCCTGGCCTTCCACTACAGCCCCGGCAGCCACAGCCTATTAAGCACCAATGCCAGCTACCAGCCCACCCCACTGACCCCCCCTGCTGAGCCAGGCAGCAAGTACTCGCTGGTGTCCCTGGACAGGGGTCAGGGCAGAGGCAGAGGGGGCAGCGGTGCCCTGGAATACGTCCCCAAGGCCGTGAGCCAGCCCCGGCGGCACAGCCGCCCCATTCCCAGTGGCAAGTACGTGGTGGACAACTCCCGGCCACCCACAGACCTGGAGTACGACCCGCTCTCCAACTTCTCCGCCCGGCACCTCAGCAGGGCCAGCTCCCGGGATGAGCGTGCCGCCAAGCGGCCCCGGGGACCCCGCGGCAGCGAGCCCTACACGCCTGCCCCCAAGAGGCCCTGCGACCCTTTCGGCAGTTGTGATGCAAGGTTCTCAGACTCGGAAGATGAGGCCGCCACGGCCCCCGGTGACGAGCCTGCCACGGCCAGCACTCCCAAAGCCAGGGCTGACCCTGAGAGCAAGGCCTCCGGGCAGCCGCCCTCCAAAGAGAGCCTGGAGACTGAGGGGGGCGGCCTGCGTGAGACCAGGGAGACCGCCGTGCAGTGCGACGTGGGGGACCTCCAGCCGGCCCCGCCCAAGCCCAGCTCCCCAGCCCAGGCCTCGCAGGATGGGGTCCGCCCCAAGGAGGGGAAACCCAAGAGGAAGAAAAGCGGGGCCCCACCTGCCCCCAGCTGTAAAGACGGTGCCCAGAGGAAGGACAAGACCAAGGACAAGTGCCGAGGGCGAGGGGAGAGGCCCCGTGTGGACAAGAAGGGCCCGCAGGCCAGCAGCCCCCGGCGCAAGGCAGACCGGCCGGAAGGGACCAAGAAGAAGCCATCTTCGGCCACTCCCGTGGCCAGCTCAGGGAAAGGGCGGCCTGACCGGCCAGCTCGGCAGCCAAGCCCCGCAAGCGGGGACTCGCAACCGGCGGCCAGCAGAGCTCCACCCGGCGCCCCCCAGCTCCCCGACAGGAAGGGCACCAAGGCCCCGTCGGGGAAGCTGGTGGAGCGCAAAGCCCGCTCGCTGGACGAGGGTGCCTCCCGGGACGCCCCCAAGCTGAAGAGGCGGGCCCTGAGCCACGCTGACCTCTTTGGGGACGAGAGTGAGGACGAGGCCACAGGGCCGGGGGGACCGAGCGTGTGGCCCCCCACCCTCCCCGGCCTCAGCTCGGACTCAGACTCTGACTCAGACTCCAGCCTGGGCTTCCCGGAGGCACAAGGGCCGCCCAAGCGGCTCAAGGCCTCCCCGCCCCCCTCCCCCGCAAGGTCCTCCTCCTCCTCGTCCTCCTCCAGCGCGGGGGCGGATGTGGACTACTCGGCCCTGGAGAAGGAGGTGGACTTTGACTCCGACCCCATGGAGGAGTGCCTGCGGATCTTCAACGAGTCCACCAGCGTCAAGACGGAGGACAGAGGCCGGCTGGCCCGGCAGGTGAGGCTCGGGTGCCCGGCCTGGGCTCAGGGTCGGCGACAGAGCTGAGGGCCTGGTGAGGGACACTCCGTTCCGTCTGGAGTGGTTTTTAGGGGGCTCAGAGGCGTGGGGTGGAGGCAGCTCCTCAGTGCTGGCCCTGGAGCCCCTGAGCCCCCGGCAGCCCTCCTGCCCCTCACCCACCCAGAGAGGTCCCTGGCCTCTGGCCACCAGCCAGGTTCCTGTGGCCGCATGCACACAGACTGTTCTTGGATCGGCAGGGGGCAGGGGCATATTGGCACACCCACCCACCCACCTCTAGCCCCTCTTCCTCTTCCTTCCCTCCTCTCCCCATCTCTTCTCCCCCCACCTGTCTCTTTTCCAGCCCCTCTTGTCTCCTCCCCTCGCCCCCCCATCCCCTCCTGCCTCTCTATCCTCACCTCCGTCCTTGGCTTCCTCCCTCCCTCCCCCCAGCATGGGGAGCTCTTGCTGTCCCAGGCCATCCCTGCACCCCTGGGTCTCCTGGCCCCGCGCCTTCACATTGGCCACCAGGGGGCGCTCGCCCCACGCGGACCGAGACAGCTCTCAGCCCACAGCAGCTGCGTTCATTCACTCGGCGGCCCCGGGGTCTCCACGCCGGTGCCCACGCCGGTGCCCTGGGTGCACAGGAGGGGTTGCCTTGGGGGCCTGCAGAACGTGTGACACCTACCCCACCTCCCCAACTGCCCCCACACAAAGCCCAGGGACTGGTTGCCCTGAGCCCTTAGCCCTGAGTGGCTGGGTGAGACCGGCTGGCAGGGAGGTGTGAGCGGCTGGCAGGGAGGTGTGAGGTGTGAGCACCCTCCTGCCAGCCGCTGTTCTTGGGTCTGGACTGTTCATCCCCCACTTGTTGGGGACGGTTTGAGGTTGGGGAGTGTCGGTGTTGGCAGGGAGGGCGGACTGGTGCTGAGGAATGGACACATGTCTTAGCCCCCCAAGGAAGAGAAGAGTGAGGAGAAGGGGCTTTCGGGTCTGACCACTCTGTTCCCCGGACAGAAGAAGAGGATCTCCCACCTCTCCAAGCAAGGCCAGGAGGTAAGGTCCGCAGAGGCTGGCAGGAACCTTTTTTTTTTTTTTTTTAAAGTTGGGGGCGGGGAGGTCTCTTGCTTTGTCACCCCAGCAGGTCTTCCAACTCCTGACCTTGAGTGATCCTCCCTCCCGCCTCAGCCTCCCAGTGCTGGGATTACAGGTGTGAGCCACCACACCCAGCTTCATTTTATTTTGGAGACGGAGTCTTGCTCTATCCCCCAGGCTGGAGTGCAGAGGCACGATTTCCACTCACTTCACCCTCCGCCTCCCAGGCTCAAGCAATTTTCCTGCCTCAGCCTCCCGAGTAGCTGGGATTACACGTGCCTGCCACCACACCTGGCTCATTTTTGTATTTTTGGTAGAGATGGGGCTTCACCATGTTGGCCAGGCTGGTCTCGAACTCCTGACCTTGTGATCCATGTGCCTCGGCCTCACAAAATGCTGGGAATACAGGCGTGAGCCGCCACGCCCTGCCCATCCCTTCTTAAAATGAGCTATCCGTTCATAAGCCTCTGATTTCTTTGGCGCGTTGTTCCCGTAAATTTGTGATGCTTTTCATAAAGCATCATTGACTTTCCCGTTCATTCTTCCACCCAAGCCTCACCGTAAATTTGATGCTGACATTTGCCTCAATTGTAGCGGAATCCTGTTGCTCTGACTGGGGGCTCTTTTCTAACTGATGTGTTACATTCCTTAGTGCCTGCAACTCTATGTGGTTCAGACACGTTAGGACAAGTTAGTATCGGTTTATTTTGGTGCAAAAAAGGTTGAAAAGCATAGTTCATCACAGTGCACGTTCTCCATGGACTTTTTGAAGACCGCTCGTGTTTGACCCTGCCTGAGCCCCAGAGAAAACGCGCCTGCCCGCTCCCTGTTGGATGATCGCCCACAGTGCTGGGGCAGGGGCACGAGTGGGGACAGGAGCCCCAGGGCGACCCCCCGCGGTGAGCCACAGACTGCCTGCTGCGCCATGTGTGGCCTGGGCCTGGGCCACTTGTCAGCTCTGAGCCCCAGTTCCCTCCTCTGTAGCCCGGAGACAGTAGGGCTTGTCGGGCCCCTGTGCAGGAGCTGCGGGTTAGTGAAGGAAAAGCAGAGAGTCTGGCTCCTAGGCCAGCAGCCAGGAGTCCAGCTGATCCAGTCGCCAGAGCCTCCCCAGAGGAGGGGCTTTGGGGAAGATTAGGTTCAGTGGGATTGGATTGGAGTGCCAGTCTAATTGGGTAGTCCCACCCACCATGCCTTATCAGGGCTGAGGACACAGCCTGGGCACCTGGAGACACTGGGAGTGGGGGAGCCGGGAGCCACATGGCATTGAGGACCACTGCCTGTGCTGCTTCCCCCCAGGGAGCCCAGCAGCTCAGAAGGTGGCCAGGGAGGTGGTGCCCCTGGCCCCCCGAGCTCCTTTACCCGCCCCACGCCTTCCCCGGGGCTACCTGCCCCAGGTACCCAGGTGTGCTGCCAGGCCTCAGCATTTGTGGTGACGCAGGCGGAGCCGCCGAGGAGGAGTCCCGCAGTACCCCCGGCCCGACCCCCGACGGCGCAGGAGGTGTGCTACCTGCGGACGCAGCAGGCGCAGAGGGCATCGGTGAGCTTGCTGCAGGCCGCCCCCAGGCTGGAGAAGCCATCTTCTGTCCACATCTCCGCCCCCGGTGAGAAGAGGAGGATCGCCCACGTCCCCAACCCCCGCTTGGCTGCAGGTGAGTCCCGGCCCAGGAGGCCTGTGCTGGGGGGCCGTGGGCATATGGGCAGAAGGAGAGGCGGCTCTCTGAGGTCTCAGCTCACCTGAACCACGTGGCACATGCTCACAGGGTGACCTTCGGCCCCCTCCTTGGGGCCCTCTGTGAAATGGGGCCTGTTAAGGGTTACAGGATGCCTGGCCCAGCACCTTCCTGCCCTGACCTGGTCCCGGGGTCACTAGGGGTCCAGCCTGGTGGGGACTGGCCTCAACCAGGCCCCGGGCTTGAGCCTGGGGTGCCAGGGAGTCAGGAGCCCTGTCAGGGTGGCGGCCTTGCAGGTGTGGCTTTCTGTCTGGCTTACAGGTGGGGGGCGTGGCCTCAGATGGAAATGAGCACCCACTGTGCGGGGGCGGGGCTGTATTACCTCCACTCCTAGGGGCACCTCTCACCAGGTCTTGTAGAAAGCGGGCCAGGCCTTAGTGGCCAGTAGGCAGGACCGTTCATGGCGGGTTGTCCTGTCTGCAGCATCTCCACCTCAGTGGTATCTGCAGAGCGAGGAAATGTCCCTGGAGGCAGGCCATAGATGAGGGTCCCCCACAAAGCTCCCAGAAACTCAGGATCCGGTCTGGGGGCTGGGAATGGCCCCTCCGTATCTGGCAAGCTCCCTTGGAGGGCATGGCTGCTGTCCAGGGAGCACCCTGGGAAGCCTGGTGGTTTGGAGCCCCTGCCTCCCTGGCACTGGCCAGAGGGCTGGAAGGCTAGCCCCCCTATTCCCCTGCAGATCCCACAGGTCCCACGGCCCTCCTATGCTGGATGCCGGCTGAGGCCCTACTTAGAGCTCTCCAGGCGTCTCCGACCGCCCTTCCCCAGGCCCCTCACGGCTGAGACCTCAGCCCCAGGGAAAGGAGCTCACTGAGTTGCGCCGACCCCAGGACCCCACTTGGTTCCCGTCTATCTCACACTCTTGGTTGTCGCGTTGCTGATCTGTGATGGGTGCTGAGTTGTCGCAGTGCCCTCGGGGACTGCAGCCTGAAGGGAGTCTGGTCCCAAGCACTGCCAGTGCTGCAGGGCGGGCTTAGCTGGCCTGGGAGGACTCTTGTGGCCGCCTGCGCTCACCCCAGGCTGTGGCCGAGGGAGCCTGGAGGGTCTCTGTCCGCCCTTCCTGAAGAGCAAACCTTCCACTGTGAGAGGTGCGGGGCAGGCAGCCTGCTTCCTCCCAGGCGGCCTGCGGTGGGACCAGCAGACTCAGCCTGCCTCACGCACACCCTTCTGGGGCCAGATGGGGTTTCGAGGGATGTCATTCTGAGACTAGGACCAGATGTCCCCACCCACAGCTCCCCTCCCCGGGTTGGCACCGAGTCCCCAGTCCAGAAGCCCCTGTGCCACACGGACACACATGCCCAGATTGCAGCTGCCCGCCTGGCCAGTGCCTGGAAACAGCCCTGGCAGGCCTGGCCTCTTCCCTCTTGGCGGGAGACTTTGGTTTGTGACCTCATCAAAGGGCCAGGCAGAACACAGAGGCCCAGGGCAGGGCAGCCACTGGTCACAATGAGCAGGGGGGGGCACCCAGCCCCTCCTGTCCTCGTCTGGGAGTTAGGGCCCTTCCCTGAGACATCGATGCCTCGGGCTTGGGGTCGGAACATGTGGCAGAGACCTGGACCACCCCACCGGCGACGTGGCCTTAGCCGCCTCCATAGCCCGACCTGTGTCCCCGGCCTTGATGGACTTGCCTGAAGGCAGCTAGAGCCTAATGCCATTGCGCAGCCGCAGCCCCAGCCCCAGCCCCACGCCCCGGCCCAGCCCCCTGCACGCGGAGATGCACATGCTGTTGGCACTGAGTGGCCGCGGCTGCCTGGTGCTCCACCATGCGGTGACGGGTGGCCACTCGCCCTGCGCCCACACCCCCTGTGCCCCGCCAGCCCCTACAGGTCCCAAGAGGACCCTCTCGGCCAGCGGCAGCCAGCCCTCCAACGGCCCCGAGCCCGGCGGCCAGCCGCTGAAGACGCGCACGTTGTCGGGGATGGCATCCAAGACCACCACCACCATCACCCCGAAGCGAATCGCCCACAGTCCATCCTTACAGGTAGCCGCTCCCGTCCCAGCCAGAACCACCCCCGCAAGGCCAGCCCCTAGGCCCCTCCTGGCCACATTGGGACCTTGCCCCCCTGCCGCACTGCAGCACAGCCTTCACCCTCCCCTCCTGCCGCCCTGTGGGTTTTGTCTTGTTTTGCTTTTTTATTTTGTTGTTTGGTTTTTTGCTTCATTTTAAGCAACAGACTCTCTGTCGCCCATGCTGGAGTGCAGTGGCACAATCATGGGTCACTGCACCCTCGGCCTCCTGGGCTCAGGCGATCCTTCCCCCTTCCCCTCCCGAGCAGCTGGGCCCACAAGCTGGTGCTGCCACACCCCAGCTAATAATTTCTTTTTTTTCTTTTTTTTGAGACGGAGTTTCGCTCTTGTTACCCAGGCTGGAGTGCAATGGCGCGATCTCGGCTCACCGCAACCTCCGCCTCCTGGGTTCAAGCAATTCTCCTGCCTCAGCCTCCTGAGTAGCTGGGATTACAGGCACACACCACCATGCCCAGCTAATTTTTTGTAGCTTTAGTAGAGACGGGGTTTCACCATGTTGACCAGGATGGTCTCGATCTCTTGACCTTGTGATCCACCCGCCTCGGCCTCCCAAAGTGCTGGGATTACAGGCTTGAGCCACCGCGCCCGGCAATAATTTCTTTATTTTGTAGAGGCAGGGTTTTGCTACATTGCCCAGACTGATCTCGAACTCTTGGCCTCAACTGATCCTCGTGACTCAGCTTCCCAAAGTACTAGGATTATAGGCCTGCACCACCACACCCGGCCTTCTTTTGTTTTTAATTAATAGACTACGTTTTTCAAGCAATTTTAGATTTCCAGGAAAACTGAGCAGAATGCCCTCAGTCCCCTGCTGCTCTCGTTGGGCCTTGGTGTGTGTGTCCCTCCTGGAACCCTGGCTGATCTGTCGCAGCGAACCTCACTGTTGCCTCCAGCGTGGTCATGGCCGCATCGCGTCTGCGTTCCCCGAGGGAGGCCCTCACCCATGACTGCTTCTGTCTTCTCTCTAGAGTTTAAAGAAACCCATTATCCCCAAAGAATTTGGGGGCAAAGTCCCCACTGTCATCCGCCAGCGTTATCTCAACCTGTTCATCGAGGAGTGTCTCAAGTTCTGTACGTCTAACCAGGAGGCCATAGAGAAGGTGAGGTCCCCGAGTTTCTGTCTGGCCAGCCAGGTGGGGACTAGGGGTCCAGGCAGGTCCCCAGACATCTCCCATCGGCCTCTCAGCTGCGGCTGCGACCCAGAGCTGCCTGGGAGAGATGCGGGTCCCTGGGTCCCGTGGCGACCCTACTGCTGCTCCCGGCACCAGCAGGCACGGGTTCAGGTGGCACTGCGTGTCCCCAGGCGCTGAACGAGGAGAAGGTGGCCTATGACCGCAGCCCCAGCAAGAACATCTACCTGAATGTGGCCGTGAACACGCTTAAGAAGCTCAGGGGCCTGGCCCCCAGCGCCGTGTCCAGCCTCAGCAGTGAGTCCTGGCAGCTGGGGAGGGGAGGCTCGGGGCACTCTTGGGATGGCAGCTGGGCTGGGACCCTTGCTGGGACAATCTCAGACAAAAGGAACCCGTGGGTGCTGTGGGGGCCACCTGCTCCCGGGCTCCCAGGCTTCTGTCTCGGACAGGCCTGGCCCTGGCGTCCTTGCTGTCAGCCGCCCTCCTTTGCCAAGCCGGGTCTCCGGGCCGAGGGGCCGCCTGCTAATGGAGCCGCGGCCGCCTCTTCAAAGCAGGAGGCCCAGGGCTGGGGAGCACAGTGCATTAAGCTCTGGGGAGGAAGAAAGCGGAGACCTGGGCGTTTCATTGCAGCCTCTCAAGGGTGCATTAAGCCATCACGGCCCCCACCCCCGTCCCCGCCTCCATTAGTGCTCTGTGGGGCCCTGGGTTGGCTTTGCAGGCTGCAGGCTGGGTGGCCCGTGAAGGCTGAAAGCTCTCGAAAGCCATTTTAGATCTGAAGTGCTGTTCTCCCTGCCCTTCCCCCTTCGCTTGAGGGGGTGGGGTGAAAGCTTCAGGTGCGCGGTCTCTGTGCAGCTCAGGGGCCTACAGAGCTGGGGGCCGTCCTGCGTTCCTCTGCCCAGCCTGTGTCTGCCTCTTCTGTTGGGGTTAGGATGGAACCTGGGGGAGCTGAGATGGAGGTCTGAGGAGGGCAGGGTGGGTGAGAGAGCGGCGGGGTGGGGGTCTGAGCCAGCTAGTTCACCCCTCCTTCCCCCCACCTTGCAGAAACCAGTGGTCGCCGGGTTGTGTCCCACGAGGTGGTGTTGGGGGGCAGGTTGGCCGCCAAGACCAGCTTCTCACTCAGCCGCCCAAGCAGCCCCCGGGTGGAGGACCTGAAAGGTGAGGCCAGCCTCACCCCTGCTCTGCCACACGGTGCCTTGTGGGCCCCTGCTGGCCCGGCTGCCTTTTCTGGTGGTGTCCACTGCCCTGTGGGCCGTCCTGGGCAGGGGCTGAGCACCGTGCCTATCCACAGGGGCCGCGCTGTACAGCCGCCTCAAGGAGTACCTGCTCACCCAGGACCAGCTCAAGGAGAACGGCTACCCTTTCCCGCACCCGGAGCGGCCCGGGGGCGCCGTCATCTTCACAGCGGAGGAGAAGAGGCCCAAGGACTGTGAGTCACTGGCCTGTATCAGCTTAGGCGGGCGGGTGCGAGACGTGGGCAAGGCCAGGCTCTCGGACCCCAGCGCAAGCCTCAGCTTCCACCCGGGTCCCCGCCCACAGCTTCCTGCAGGACCTGCTGCCGCTGTGGCACCGAGTACCTCGTGTCCTCCTCGGGCCGCTGTGTCCGTGATGAGGAGTGTTACTACCACTGGGGACGGCTGCGCCGGAGCCGGGGTAAGGCCTTACCCGGACCCACCCCCATCCACCCGAGGCCCCCAGAACTGGGGTAAGGCCTTACC